CCGGACTCTCACCTTTTCCATCTATCTTTCTACCATCCGATTGGAACAAAGAGGCCATGTGAACAAAGAGATCTTCGATACATCATTGGTGCTCCTCCTTGCATCCAGACGGGTCTTCACTGCCAGAAGTTTTTGGACGTTCTCACATGCTACCACTGTGCTGCACAGGGGTTTTGGAGATCCAGTACCCTCTTACTCTGGCGCTGTGGTGCCAGTACACTATGGTAGGAACGGGAACCCGCGTAGAAGGAGCTAGCCTCTCAACCGCCGACCCGTGGCATCGACGTGTGTGTTTCGTCGTTTTTCTTCGCACAAATGGCCTCCTGGCAGAAGGCAAAGCACTGCCTACTCGACTTATGTTGTATATACAATAAGTAGAGTGCCTATTATGGTACGACTATAGGCGATACTTATAGAAAAATACTTACTTCAGTTCCAACAAGATAATTCAATGGAACCTACGCATGATGGTCTTCAATATAAAAATACACACACACGTCACATATATATATATATATTGCAGATCGCTTTTCCGGGTCTGTCTTGGGACTGTCTCTGTGTCTGTCTGTGGGTCATCGAAGTCCATCCACGTGTCTTCGCCTTCGGAGCTCCGCTGCTGTGAGAGAACCTGGGCAGATCGGCACCGGTGTGAAAATGTCTGACCTCTGACCTGGGACCTGTCTGATCAATATGTTTCAATGAAGAAACTCCTATTGAATCAATGTTGTGTTACTTCTTTTTCAACATGTCAGCCTGGCAGGCTTGTGACATGTGCGGTTCATTGGCGTTTCATGATGTTTTAGCAAGTGTTTGTTTCATGGACATTAACATGGATTGTGGAACCCAGCGCTTGGGGTTCCGGTCTGCGGCCATGGTTTCTTTGGGGATTGGCAGAACTTGAGATTGGCGCAAAGAAATATGCGGAAGCTATCATCCAGTGATCAACAGGATTTGTTGAACCCCGTCCTCAGGCTACAGTTGGAAAAGGGTCATCTTCCCAAAAACCTCATGTCTTTTCGGCCATGCACCCTTTGCCTTTGACCACCATTCCTATACGAACCATTTTGGGTGCTTGCTTCCAGGTCAAGTGGGCGATGTTCAGTTGGACCTTGGTTGAACCCGTGTGCCTCAAGCTCAACCCTCAAACCCTCAAAACCGGGCACATCCTGACCATTGTTGGAGTGTTGGACACATCTCAAAGCACAACTTTCTAGGGAACATTGCTGCCTCGCTGGATCTTGCGCTACTAGTAGCTATTTGCTACTAGTTACTAGTAGTGATGCCCTTGTTACCTTTTCTCTGCCGTGAGCCGCGGACTTCTGGAAAGTAGGTCCTCGAGGTCTGCTTGTGCCTGCACAGGTGCAATCCAGAGCGGTCATTGGAACCGTGGATCGGATCGTGCATTTAAAAGAAGCACTCCGTCGCCCGTTTTCGTCCGCTTTTCGAGCTCTGGAACTGTGTGGATCGGCACACCGCGTCCCAGGTTGTGATCCACTCCACTCGACAGGTTTTGCCTCGGCAAAGAGCCAAAGAGCTCTTTTTCGGTCTCCGTGCTTCCAAGCCGAAGCAAAACCTGTCAACGTTGCAAAAAAAAGGTCCCTGGGTCCCTGCAAAGCTTGTCTAAGTGTCTAAGTGATGGAAGAACATGTTGCATCACATCATCTTGTGTCTCGAGAGAGAGCGAGGTGACCGCGGTTCGGGCGACCACAGCACAGCCGGCGGTTCCGCGCCGGCGGTTCCGCCGGCGCCCGCGAAGTCTTCGCGGTTCTGCCGATGGGCCAAACTTAAAATCACACGAAATCAAACTTGAATTACACTCAGTTGAATGTGAGTCCGAGCCCGCATCCCCCAACAGAATGATTCCCCGAACTTCGGTTTCGACAGGAGACGCCAGACATCGCTCGATCCAGGGAGTTCTCGGGGAACAGCCACGTGGGTTCGACAGCCACGTGGGTTCGATGCTCCACGTGCCCCAGTGGATCGAGGCAAGTCCAAAAGAATCGTCTTGCCTCTTTAGACCATATGCTGGTTCATCAAGGATCATCAAGGCGTCTAGAGTGGCAGGGGTGTTCAAATTCCAAAACCCTACAGTATCTTCCACACTCTCTTCCACCAAGCTGGTCATATTCTAGGGCCCTCAACCGAGTTCTTCTGCGGATGAAAAGGTCAAGCAGGGAACATTAACAGGTGATTACCTCCTAAATTGTATTGGACACCGGTCCTATCTATCTTACTCTATAGATATATATATACATATTATCATATATATTTATATAAAGATGTTAATATTGTACTGTATATCCCATGACCAGTAACAGTGGATGATGATGTTTAGTAGATGCCTTTCTATAAAATAGTGATAATTGTTGTACTGACGGTTGCAGGTAATGGGACAGACTGAACAAACACACACACATACATATTTATGTATATTGGGTCTATCCTAATACCTATAACAGTGGACGATGATGGTTAGTAAAGGCCTTGTTTACTGACTGTTACAGGTAATAGGACAAACCCAATATATATATATATATATTATATATGGGGGAGCACAATTGACCTCGTCTGCATTCTACCTCCAATCATCGGCTGCAAACCAAAAAACAATGGATTGAAAGCAACCGTGTTCCCAGAACTTTAAAAAGAATGATTTGGAGACGATGCCCCAAAACCTAGAACCGAAAACCGAACAACAATGTTTTGGAAGCTATGTTCATCTGACAAAGGTTGGGACTAGTTTGAAAAACATTGGTCGATTTTGGCTTGTTTGGTTTTTGGCTTTAGGATGTTGGGTGTAGTGTCCAAATAAACCCGTTTTGGCTTGCTTGGTTGAACTTGGTTGAGACCCATATTCGTTGGGACTAACACTGATGTGGAAAGCATCTGGTTGCTATCCTTAAGGGATTGATAAATGTGCAAAAGAATAGTTCATAAACGCAGCACATGTTTATAAACAATGCCTTTTGACCTACTCAGTCATCTGCAGCATTCCAATCTCAACGTGCCATCTAATTCGGTCTTCCGCAATGTTAAAAATCGATAGTTGATAGTCTAAACGGAAACAATCGTTATTTGTTCAATCTAAATTCAAAATTGTAGATATGTTTGGTTGGTTTAGATGGTTGAACTAGGTACTTGCAATCTTCAACAAAAGACAAAAGCATATGGGACCACTGCAGTTGCAGAGGGAGGTGGTGCAAGTAATGGTGATGGGTATGATCCACAGATTGACGGGTTTTCCAGCATTGAACGCAGGCACAGCAACAACTTACACCAAAGCAGAAATTCACACATCACTAACTGCAACAGCAAATCATTAACAATATAAAGCAGGCACAGCAACAACTTACACCAAAACAGAATTTCACACAGCATCAACTGCAAAAGCTTAAGACTTAGTTAAACTAGGTTAAAATGTATACACCTGAAGCGATAGATGTGAACCTTTGTCTTTTTCTCGCTGCTTCTTTCGGCTTCGAAAAGGACCTCGTCCACCGGATCCGGTGAAAGCAATGAGCCGCCGTTGTTCCAAAAGAAAACACAGTTTTCGCAGCCGAATTGTAGACGGATTGATTGGTTAAGGTTTAAAGACATGGGACTGGAGGTGTAAAGCTGTAAAACCATGTCAAACCATTCTGGCTGGGGGGGATTCAATTAGTGAACCATCTACTAATTATAGATTCATAAAAAACATTTGGATACATTTGGCATCATTTAGCTACTCTCTGTATCTGGCAGTCCCTCCCTATGGTCCCTTTCTCTGCGCGATATCTCAATCAAAAACACTTCCTCACAAAAGGCTCGTCTTCACCCCAACAGAGCCCACTCTTACCGTCGGTGCTACCACGGCAGTGTCTCACCAAACACGGCGATCCACCAGACCAGGGCCTGATAGAGCCCAGCCCAAGTTCTTGGGCGTCTCCACCATGCAAAAACGGCCAGCCGAAAAATCGCCGACCTCTTTCTGGCTCTCCAAGGAATTCACGGAGAAGTCGCAGGCCACACGCGAACCAAACACGTCAGGAAGCGGAACCGGATGCGTCACCGCCGAAGCCGTCGGTCCGGGTGACGCATCCGAGTTTTCGGTGTTTCTGACCGAGAGACCGACCCTATAGGGGATGGTTAGGTGAGGGTCCTGCCGGATCTGTTTTTCATTCTGAACCCACCAGGGGGAAAGGCCCAAACCATAGATTGGGTCAATCCTCATATGTTCTCGACGGGCCGACAAAAGACCAATGTCAAAGCAGCTACACGTCCCACGTGTTATCCACACGTGTTTGAAAAAGACTAAGGTTTGTGAGCCAGGTCGACATGCGCTCTGATACAAGGGTCCCAGTGAGTTTTCACACAATTTCACACACAGCCAGATCAACGGGATGAGTTCTTCAAAATACTCTCTGAGTCCCACCGTCATCCACCGTCTAAACAAGCCCTTGTCGCGTTGGACCCGGTTTCTATCGGGCTCCAACTGGGCGGGCTAACCAGCCTAAGAGGTCCATGAAAAGCGGACTGGACAAATCGCTTAACGTTCAAACATGTCGAAACATGTCGAAACATGTCCAAACCTTCGAAGTCTTGAAGTCTCAGGGAGTTTAAAAGTCTGCGTTACGAAGACCTCCACGGTGTACGACCAGGCAGGACAACAAACTGCGCCTAGTCATCCTCCCATCCAAATAAAACAAATCTAGACACGTCTTAGGACGTCTACATGTCAGCAAAGTTGAAAAACAACCGAGAAATCTACAGCATGCCGCGATCTTCACGTGATCCTGAAGTTCGAAACTTTAAGATACTTTAAGTACCTTGAATTAGATTCTTGTCCACGCTGTGAGCCTCTTGAGGATCTTGTGAGAATAGTTGATTGAAGCTTGCTACTCCTTCTCAAGGACATCGTGCGGAAGGCTTTATCAAGGGCAAACATAGCGTGCTGATCCAACCAGTGATCGTTCACGAGAGATCCACCCTCTTTTTTGAACATGTCCATGAATTCAGAACTTCTTAGGATGACTCAACCTAAGCGTGGGCATAGAATGCAGCTCTTATACCACTTGGGGCAGCGGCCCAAAGACTCTCAAAGCTCTTTAGCAGCAGTGGAGTCCTGGCAAACTCGTGGCTGGAAACTGGAAAGGTGAAAACATGCGAAAGGTCTGAATGGTACTGCTCCACTTTCGCCGCAGTTCTCCCACTCTACTTCAGCAAGCTGTGCTTGGAAAGGCATTGCATTTCTGATTGGAGGTCACACCCGGTGATTTGCTGTTGTCTTGAGTGATTCGCCCACTGCCCACCCGGGACCCCCAGGAAACCTGATGCCACTTGTTGGCAGCTACATCATCTGATCAACCTTAGGTCTCGGCTGGAGGGACCCACGGCCTCCAAGCAAAACCTCCAGGCCTCTCGGCGACAGAGTGACCTACTCCCCGGACGGAGACCCCCGCAGACCCCGTCAGGTCTTCGGTCCCGTCTTCGGATCGTCGGGTCGCACCGATTCGGTTCCAGGGGCAATGGGATCGATTTGCGGACCGTGGGGTCATTGGTCAAACCCATGCGTATCCGATGCGTTGGAGTTCAACCCATGTGTACCCAGGTGTGAACACCCATATTAGATCTCTGGTACCATGTCAAGATTGGGATCTCTGGTAAGTGACTTTTTCCTGTTAGATATAGAAATAATTCTGGGTCGAGGGTCTCTTGTCCTGTACCGAAGTGTAAGTATTATCCCTTACAAACGTATATCCCCCAAAAAACACACGTTTTCCACGCGCACCAAGTGGCAACTTAGGAATGCATGCCATCAAATCTCCAAGTGCCTCGCGCGTTCTGCGAGTTCTGCATTGAAAAACGGTTCGCGAAGGATGGCGGAGCAGAACTGGAGCAGAACTGGTCTGAGAACATCAGAATCACTTCAACTGGATCACATGGGATCACAAGGTACACCCAGGAAGATTAACATAGAACCTGTTAAAATGGACCTCTGAATAAGATGATGTTCCTCTACAACCCGTGGTTTTCAGGCTCCATGTGGACCTCTTCCAGAGCGACGATCCCGACCATGTGGACCCTCACAATTCACCGGTGGTGTTCGACCTTGTTCGACCAACCCGACGTGGTTGGGGGTCCATGGCGCTGGTGGTTCATCCTTTTTGAGCAAAACTGCTGACAGACCAGGACACAATACCAAAACTGTTTGACAAAAATACACAAGACCATTGCTTGAGGCTCGGCTCAATGTATCTCGACGTGCCTATCGAGTGGTTGCTCGATGTATCTCGATGTTGCTTTCTTCCATCAACAGTTGTGTAATTAATGAAATCGAGATGAGCAATCCGTTTGTCCATTATCAGTCGTATCTCCATCCTTCTTCCTATTGCTACAGTATCCACTCCCTCTCATCCTGATAGATCCTGACAGTCAGAAAACAGATGCAGCTCTTCCGTTCTTCTTCTTTCGCATTAGGCGTACGCTCCATTTCGAGACGCCACCTCCAGGGCGTTTCTTCTTCTCGTTCGTATCTCTTTCACAGACAACGTTCGCCTGGTGATCTCTTTTGTGGAAAATACACGTCTGACTGGTGGATGTGAACCAACAAGTCCCCAGCGGGGCAAGAGGAAGGCAGATTGGGAAATTTGATTCAGAAGACGCCAAACACCCATGCGATGTTGCCAGGTGTGGCAGTGCTCTGTGTAAAACCAGAACAAAACCAGTCCACCAGAGTCCACCAGTGAGATTAACAACTTCATCGAATCATGGACAATCAGACGGAACATGACGGAACGCACATGTGAGAAGAAACCCTCAGTTCAACTCCCTCGGAAACCGACGTTTTGGGACCCCAAAACCGTTCCGCACTGCATGCGCCTCTTGGGCATTCTCCTGCAAGACGCCCACCTTGGTTGGGCCCGCTTCGCTTCGTGGGGCTGGCAGACCGAGATGGCACATCTCCAAATGGGGGGGTGATTCAGTCTACATGTAACATGCTCAAACCCTTGAACATCAGTAAAACCACCGTTTTCTGTTGGAACCCCACATGGTCATCTCCCTGAAACCTACCAACCTCTTAGGCAATGCGGGCGCTGTGGCTGCACAAAGGCAGTGGTACAGAATTGAAACCCACAATCAGAAGCTGCCATGACGCCACAGCAACTCAGTCCGATAGAAACAGAACACTTGGGGGGTACAGTACTTGCTTGAATGGCTGCGGCTAGGATAGGCATACTGCAGTAAAGGAACAAAGGGTCCTTTGAGAACACTTGTCACTTGACTCGTCAAAGAAAAACGACCCCGACCATCAAATTATATAGACCGTATCAAGTTGACAGTTGACAAGAATGGCAAACACAATTCAAACACTACATATATTATATGTATAGTTGCCATGTAGTTGCTGTCAATTTGCACTGTATCAGCTGCACATAGCACAAGTTGACAGTATCAAGTTGCTATCAGTTGACAAGCATTACACCCTTTGAGCTCGCAAACTGAATAGCAAGGTCCATCGTGTTCGATGCTGTTCTGCGTGCAGAAGCTCTTGAAGCGACCTGGTGGACACGGCTGGTGGACATCGTGACGGATCCCTTCCCGGATCTTGGCTCCCCAAACAACACCGCTGGAGCAATGCCTTCTGGAATCACTGACATGTTGGAGGCCACAGTGATTACTCCGGTTTCAATGACTTTCTGCTAGACCTGCAGGGCCCCCAATGTTTTCACCAACGCTTGGAGCCCCGCAAGGCGCACGACCAGCAGGTCTACTGACTGACTGCCGTGACAAATGGACCTGACGAGGAACCCAGGAACGGTTGGTGGAGCCCAAGAAGTTGCAGGCTGCCGAACCAAATCGACTCATCGACTCTCCATCCAAGCGTTCACAGTGGTCCACACCTTCCAACTCCGCTAAATCGCAGGCCCACACCCAACATCACGCTCACAACCAACACGTGAACGTCATGGGCCCCAGACCTTCTACACTTTTCAGCTCCTTCAAGGTCATCTGCATCGCCTGTCGAAACCTCGGTGGCGATCGCGGGTTCCGGCGAGTTCAGGTCCGGCGTTGGCTTCACCCGGTTAGGTTTTATCCGCACTTTTTTGGCAAAACACCCTGTTTGGGACGGAGAACAGGTCTGAGAACAGGTCGGAGTCAGCCCATTCCGGCCGTTTTTGGGCTTACCGGTCTCCCAACAGAGGCCCGATCGAAGTGGAACCACCATGTATTACAGTACAAAAATTCGAAGAACCAGTCTTTTACTATTTTGACGGAGGATTTTACACCACATCACCAGATCGTTCCGACCCGGTCGAACGGACTTCGCTTGGGGGAGGCTCGTTAACCCCCCTTTTTGCCGTCCCGTTCCGAGGCTCCGATCCAAGGCCCGGACGGCCAGCGCAAAACGGACGTCCCGAACTGGAGAGGTCCAAGCCTTCCTCGGAAAAAGACCATCTGTTTTACAGTAAACACACATACCCAGACTATCCATGTTATGGAGTTATGTAGTACTACCGTACTACCACATGACCCGGGTGGATATGGTCTAGTCCCTCTTCCCGTCCCAGACATCGAAGACAGTCGGGTGCCAACCACTGGCCAGATCGAGCATCGGAGCGGTGGCGCGGTGGCTCCAACAGGTCCGTTCGCTGACGAAGGGTCGACGGGAGAAAGCCCACCGAACGAGCCAGCCCACCACTGGGCCACTGTCATTTTTGTGAACCATTCACTATCATTCACTGCTACCATGGGGTTGAAGTCACATTAGCTGGGCAGAAGTCACATTAGTTGAAACCCCATGTGAGGGCGATCTGGAAGAAAGTGGGCAAAAGTCGAATCAACGTATCACAATCTGCATGGCACACTTAACCCATGCCAGAAATGTAAGACCCACATCGGACTCCCCCAACCTCATGAACAATGCATACGAAGATCGTGCTCCAAACTTAAGCCCTCAAATCCCCGAACGAGACACTGAAAACATCTGAAAACTAACTGGATGCCGCAGCCTCTTCCAGGTGATACGCCAGTACATTCTAAGAGGGTTGATTGGGTCTCTGCTTGGTGTTTGGCGAAGTCGACAAAGCAGATCCGTCTCAAGAAGCTTGTCAGGATCTTCCAGGTTGGTCGTCACAGCCACCTTGGAGTTAAACCACCGGAGGGGGGTCTTCTCCGATTCGACTCATCAATCCTTGCGACTGAGATGGCCACTTTTGGGGGGGTTTTCATTTGGTTTGGAACCTTGCTGCCCAAAAGCGCCCAAAGGAATGAGGTATTCAATAAAAAAGAAAAAAAACTATTATATCAGACCTATCACCCTTCATTCTGGGGATTTCCGTTGCAACCCCCAATCCTGTGGTGTTCACGTCAAGGACTCGGTGGGCATACGGCCACGGCGCCGAGGTCTCCGTTGGTTGAGTTTGTAGGCCGTGGTCCATCGACTCCTGCTTAATGCAGAATGACTTGAGTTGGCGTAAGGAACCCAGAGGGGTTTGCACCATAGAAAAGTAAAAACCATCCCAAGCAAAACCAACATAAGGGATGATAAGGGATTGGATCCTAAGGTATCTCCTTTGTGGGGTCGGCCCCTTTTACATCTTTTACCAACCAAGCACCAGTCCAAAGAGTGTTTTTTGAAGTCAAGTAATTAGATGTAATTAGCAGAGGCACATACATTATTGGACAACCCGTGCATGGTCGGTGGGTGCCCGTCTCACCCGGATCGAACGTCGAGCGCAAATCGTTGCCAATGCGAAGAAAGCCACGCAGCGCAAAGAAAACACTGTTGATTAGATCGTAGTGTGATAGACAAAGCCACATAGAATTCAAGTCCTCCGCGGGATTTATGGTAATCTAAGAGTCCCTTCTTCGGAAGCTGCCGGACCAGGGACCTTTCCAACTGAACGGCACCGCGGTCGAAGCGCGGGCACCCCACCAAGGGTAGATGTATGTAGGGCATCCAAACCACCCACCTACACCCAAACGTGAAAGTCTTTGCAATGCAGCTGTGGCAAACAAATCACACTGGGACGAAACGCCACGACTAAGTCACAGCAAAGTCCTTGCACTAGTTGTTTTGGCATATAGAACACCGAACAGGCCTGCCACGCTTAAACATGTTGTCAACAACCAGTTTCCAATGGGACACTGCTATACATAGGACATGCAAAACAAAACAATGACAGGCAGAAAAAGAATAGGATTCGTAGCGCAGCGGCGGCGGCGGCAGCAGCCGCAGCCGCCACACCCAAAGCCAAGAAGCAGCAGCAGCAGCAGCAGCCAAAGCACTTGCTCTCACTCTTTGCCCAATACCCTCCACGCAGGTGCTCCTGAAATTTGTATATAGGTAGAAACAAGTGCACGAGGCAAATGAGTCTGTCCCAACATAGGTTGGGAAGCGCAACTCGAAGCTTCCAGGAATTATATAGAAACTGTGATACAATCGTCAGTCGTGTTCCAAACACCAGCCACCAAGAAATTCTGTAACAAATAAACCATCTGCCCGACACATCAATGTTCGAACAACGAACGCCTCCACTCCTAGACACCAAACTGCATGGGGACGCCGTTTCGCAACGACTTCTCAAAAACCCTAATCACAATGGAGTGAATACAAAAACATGAAATCACAACAACTTCAGCACTTGGGAGTACAACTCAGCTACCCTTTCTGTAAGGCACCGGTGGTAGCATGTTCTCCAACCTTTGAAGTACCACGTCTCACATGGGCTTCTTATCCTTGGCCCCTGGTTGCCTTGGTCAAAACATGTCAAAAACCATTTCAGGTCGGATGGGCTAAATCTGCAGCAAGTGGCCATCAATGGCGTTGGAGCTTCATATTTCCCATCAACTTCGAGGTGGCCACCTAAGTAACGGTAGTCGAAAGTGTGCTCCTTCTTCCCGGGAGAGATGAAGGAGTGGGGGCGATCTAGAACTGGGAACTTCCATAGCCTACATATGCTAAATCATGGCTTTATGAGGGTCTAGATGCACAGCTTCTATCAACCTGGTCACCATCTCAAAAAATTGGACCATCCTTGAGATGACCATCCCTGCGAAAAGAGCCTCAGCCTCTCCAGTTGCACTTCCGCACACCTGGCTCTGGAAAACAAAAGTAAACCATAAATGCTGTAGTGTATAGTCCTTTGAAGGGTTTCTTGATGAATTTGAGGTTGGTGATGGGGCTTATCAAAGGATTGTTACCCCAGCAATTAATGAGAACAACAAACAATAGGTAAAATCCCTAAAGCAAATACAGTATATAATGGATACGAATGGATTGGTGAGGACTCTTTCTGCTTGGGCAGCTCCTCTAGGGTGTGAACAACTGATGGAAATCCAGCCTGAAGATTGTCTGAGAATTCTCTACAAGATACTATACACATAATTACTGCAATACAAAGGGTGCGGCATTCCATCACCTGAAGCTTGCAAATATGACCTCTGTTTGCAAGAAGTCGGAGCGCTGTTTCCAGTGTCCATGATAGTCAGTGCGGGACGGTTGAGATCTTTGCCTCATATATTCAGAAACTATACACTATACACTTTGGTGTTTTTCCCAGCTCAGGACAACTAGCCAATCCTGCCTTGTAAGTATCAGTATAATATATATATAGTGATATAAGATATGATATAAGTACGCATAGTTGATAGTAATTAAATCGTATAACCCACCATCACTCCCCAAAACACCGTGAAACCCCGGCCAGTTCGTGCACCTCTTCACTTCTTCGCTCGGCTCCGCCGGAACCGCGCGAAGTCGCAGGAACCGCCAAGCCACTGCCCCGACCACGGATGCGGATCTTTGCACCGGTGAGGTCCGCAATCTTCCTCATGTTGCAGCCTGAGCCATCGGTGAGAGCCACAGCGGCAGCGGCGCGGTTTGGCACCGAAGGGTGGCACCGTGCCATGTTTCGGTTCCGAGGCTAAAGGCTGGAAATGTTTGGATGCAGATCCATGCTGTCTGACATCTTCAAGCCGAGTGGGATGTTGACAGTCGGAGTCCTCCAATTGCTATGAAACATATACCCCAGAAGTCCAAGACCATGTTTTTAACATGGTTTCCCGCCGTGTTCTAGTGTACCTTAGTAAAACCATGGTGGTTCGGTAAAGACCAATAAATCCTAGGGGTTCCGCTTCTGTCCAATTGGTCGATTGCAATGGGAATAGATTGAAGCAATTGGTGACCTTCATCAGACGACCTGAAGCCTGTCATGGCACCTGAAGCCCCAAACGCACGCACTGTGTCGCTTGACCGTTCATCTGGGGGCGTCTATTCAATATATTACTAGCGCTGCTTGTATGTTCATGTTCGGCGGAAGACCTGTCTTCTCTGCTCCCCCAATTTGGACAGCTTCACCTGGATCTTGACGGCTAGCCATCGGCACCAAACATTTGCCGTGTTCTTTTTCAGGTTAGATGGAAAAAAAATACCACACATGCTAAAAAAAATGTCTTGCCAACATCCTCTTTCGTGTGTTTTCTTCGTGCGTGCCGTTCTTCATTTGCGAACTGTGTGGAATGCAGCATCACTTCCTCAGTATCCGCGTGAACAGGTCTCCCCAGTAGCCATGGAGGGTGGGAACCTGGGAACGTGGGGCTGCCATCCACTCACTCAGGGTCCTTTGGACCTTGTTGGAACCTTGTTGGAACCTATGGCTTTTTGTTGAACACCAATTCTGCCATCCAACCGAGGACCATGGCAGCCATGTCATGTTGATTCTTCTTCGTGAGGACTGAGGCACCTTTGCGTCCAATCAAGCGTGGGACAAGATCAAAGCCTTCCTGCTGCATGTGCAGGTAGATGTGTGCCTCGGTGGCATGAACATGTCTTCCTTCTCAGAGCTTCCCCTAGGCCCTGGAACCTGCCAGAGCGCTGTGGGTACCAAACTTCACCACAGCCGCTGCTGGGGGAATGTGGTGTTCATAACTACGATGCTCCGTCGTCACTGTGGAAGATTGTGGTTCAACCCAAACAATTCGTTCAGGTTAAACCAGGGTTCTTCACAACCGCTGACCCGGTCTCTTTTGGGTGTTCGTTTGGTCCTTCGTTCACCCCGAATCCCTCCAAAAGCACCAAACCTGGACTTTCACAAACACATTCCCAGACGCTCCACGTATGCAGTATGGTCTACATTTGGTGGTTTGGGGTGATGAATGTATAGGCCATATTTGCATATATGGAGCGTTTGGGATTGTGTTTGAAAGACATCGTGTCTTTGGTTTAACCTTACATTTTCTGGGTTTGGCCGGTGAAGGCATGTCTAAAGTATAGTATATAGTGGTTGGCTCATCCAAATTCAATGGGATTCGGTCTGCTTTGTTGCACGGCGCACGGCCCATGGCCATGCACCCATCGACGTGTTTGACAAGGAAAAGCTCGGTGGTCCTTTTAAGGTCCATGCAATGTGTTAAGGAACACCATGGATTAAGGAAATCCATGGGTTAAGGAAGGTCCTTTTGACCTGGCGTGTGTTTGGAGGATTTGTACGGCTTAGAGTTTGGGTTGCAGCGGCGGCCACCTTTTCGCCGTAGGCTCGAGAAGCGAGCTTCAGACCCAGTCCAATGGACTGGTGGTCTTTCCAGAGGAAAACAAATGTGTTCTCGAAACACGAGATGTTCTCCCTCAAATCAAGCAAAAACACGAGATGTTTTTTCATGGCAAACTCGCGAAACAGGACGTGTCTGGTCGATCTCTATTTATACATATATATATAACTATATATATATATTGATTATATGTGTCTGTATTTTATACATATACATACATATATATATATATGTGTGTGTGTTGTTATTTCATATATCATGCTATCACCACCCATTGTCAGTGGCTCCAACAGCTCCAACATTGTCACATGCCGATGTACTTCTGTCCTTCAGCCTGAGTGGCCCAAAGCCGCAACTTTCGGCAGGGCCGCGGATTCCGATCCCTCTTCCCGCTCTCCTCCACCGTCTCGCTCTCCAAGGGAGTGGCCTCCTTTAGAGAGGACGTTCTCCACAAGTTTTGCACAGTGTTGGGATCGAACACGGAGACGAACACCACAGCAGGAGCAGCTATATACCCGGATCCCGGATAGTAGGGGCTTCCATTGGTAACCCCTTACTTTGAAGGTGCTGGTAGGTGATATTATATATATATAGTAGGTATACTATATAGATTATAGATATATGTCTTTAGTCCTAGTTCAATAGTAGCAAAAAACTTGACTTGCGCCAGTGGTCCGACCTGCACCGGCCTACAGGACTAAGACCCGAAACGGTCCGTTCGACATGAGACCACCCATGCCAGACCAAAGAAATGGGACTGGAAGAGGTACCAACATTGGGGTCATGTGAAAATGGTGGTTTCATGTCTATACATATATATAACTATTCCATACTATTCCATACCCTAGGGATCCATATATCCTCTGAGAAGGTCATTGGAGACACTGTTAGCTGTTATTATGTAGGTTTGGAGGGTCTAATTACCTTCTGAGAAGGTACGACTGGATCCCTAGGGATACATGGATGGTCTGGGCGTCCACTCGAGCTTCGGTCCGTTGGGTTGGATGGGTTTCGGCTGGTTTGGCGGGTTGGTCCCAAGTGTCTCGAAAAGGATGAGAAAAAACACCATCTCAAGAGGTCAGCATCTCAAAAATATCTCAAATATCGTGAATCGCAAAGCTTCGGCAACAACTCTGCCATCTGAATGGTGAGACCATGCTTGCAAGATGACCAAGTCTCAGACCATTCTTGAACCCCCGCGGCCACCACCCCCAGCGCCTGCCACTCGCCCTCGGCGTACTCCGCCGCCTCCGGGGCCTCCGCACAAGTCCGCGCGTCGGATCGAGACGGATCGGCCGTCCACGCCACGTCGAGCCCGGAAACGAAAAGCGACACGGCGAAACCGTTCCTTCGGATCTGCCAGCGACCATCGCAGCGATTCGTCAGACTTGGAGTCGATACAAAAAATAGCCTGACAGAAAGCGATGATCTCTGGTCTCCATGAGTTTGTTGTATGGCGGTGAGTCAAAACCTGAAGCCCTGGTCCACCATGTAGCTTGACCTTCAACGTTTTGACCCACAACCATATATGTACCAGGACCAGGACCTAGAGGTGTCATTAAATAACCTCGCCTCTTAGAGGTTAGGGGTGTGCAAAAACCACCAGACTTGGAAGGTCCTGGAATGTGTGCCAAAGCACCTACCTCCTCTTGACCACCCAGCTGTCATGGTGCCGCAACCGACCCAATGTGGGTCCCAGTGATGGGCCTCCGCAGACACGGCGGGGGCCAACTGCCTGAGTGTCTGCCGCTGTGGGACTCTCAGAAAGCGACATGCTAGGACTGTGGGACGTTCAGCAAGTCATACGTTGGTCCTGCCCTGGAGCATCCAGTCCTCGCCTGTCGAAACTGATCGGACATCGGCGGGGCCTACCTTCTTCGATCTGCTAGTGATGGAGGGCATGGGTCGTGGCAATCCGATGGCATGGAAACCATTCTTGTACTAAAATGCATCAACCCATCCATGTGGAACTCCGGGGTCGGGCTATCAAAAAACACATAAGTTCATGTCTAAAATAGTACAGTATCAAAAAGAAAATTGAGGCATATCAAACAAATATCCGTTCACAAAGTGCTGCGCCTGCCACGGAAGCTGCCGTGACTGCAGCGGACCAGGAGACGGACCACAGAGAAAGAGGGGACCAGAGGACCACGGAACCAGAGGACCAAGGGACCAGCAGACCAGGACATCAGGGCACCATACAGCCAGGGACACGCTTTTCAAGATGCTTGGATCAAAAATCACCATATTGCAGTGCGGTTGCAATATGAAATTTTGATATGTCGACGGGTGCTTCGTTAGTTACGTCCAAAGAGCGCTTCTGCCAAGCCAGGTGGGCGTCGCGCTCACTCGCGTTAACTCCGTCCACACGGCCTGGCGAACTCAACACAGAGTTAAGACGGAGTCAAAAGGAAAAAGATAGAGGGAAGGAAAGGAAGGGAAAAGGAAGAGAGGAGACAAGGAAAGGAAGAGGAAAAGGAAAGGAGACGGAAACAAAAAAGGAAGGGACAAAAAAATGCAACATGTTTCAACTCTCTGTTAACTCTGTCTTAACTCTGTGTTAGGAAAGGAAAGGAAGAGGAAAGGAAGTTGCAATAAAGTGGAAAATACGTTACCTCTGTGTTAACTCTGGCTTAACTCCTCCTTCCTGTGCGGACACTATGTGAAAGAGAATGGGGAAAGGAAAAGCAGGGAAGTGGAAAAGGGAAAAGGAAACGGAAAAAGGAGACAAGGAAAGGAAAAGGAAAGGAGAGGGAAACGAAAAGGAGGGAACACTGTCTCTTCCTCCTCCAAATTTTGGCCGTGGGTGGCTCACAAAAGGTGTGCTACATTGGAATGGCATCTTCCTCCTCTAAATTTTACCCCAGGCAGCTACGTTGGAATGACATCTGCCTCCTAAATTGTACCCTCTGGTGGCTCACAAAAGGTGTGCTACGTTGGAATTGCATCTTCCTCATCTAAAATGTTCCTCTCGGGCGGCTCACAGAAGGCGTCGCACCTTCCTCCTCTAGATGTTCTCAGCTACGTCTGTTGAGTCTGTTGCACACCGGGGCGATCTTCTGCTGTTCCTATGGCTGTTGCGTCTGCTGTGTGTACTTTGACGAGGCTGCGGCAATGACCATTGTGATATTGCTGTGGTTCTGCGGGCTCTGCCGGGACGGGAACAAATTATGGGTCGTACTGACTCCCTGTGTTCTGCTAACCATAGAATGACAGTAGTTTTCCGGCACGGGGTGGGCACTTGAGAAAATTTGCTATGTGGAAGAATCTGCCCACACGATGACGTGGAGGCGAATATGGTGCTTGTCCAACTTGGTGCATGGGTACAACTGCATGGCCATACATTGGTTGTCAGCATGCCAAAGGTCCTTAGACACGGCGAACATGGGCGTGGCACGTTGACGAAACTTTTGACCGAGGGGACCAGGGGGGCCAGCGAGGGGACCAAAGGACACCAGCAGACCAGGAACCAGAGGATCAGGGGACCAGGGGAATAGGCTTTTTTGATACGAATTAATTTCCTTTGATAGGAATCAATGTTGTTCTTGAAACGAATTAATCTTCGTTTTGATAGGTATTGTTGTGTCCCTCTCATGAGATCCAAACAGCATCCTCTGCGTACCAGGCCTAACGTTCCGCCCTGTCCGCAGCTGAGCTGCGGTGGCACCAGCATTGTGGGTCCAACAGGTGGCAGTACCGGTGGCAACACACCCAAAGCACCCATGGCTGCCTGAAAAAAGCGAGAGATTGTTCAGCTGAAATGAGGGGAATAAATCCGTCCAAAGAATTTAAGAGTTCATATGCATATTCATATACACGCATACATATACAATCATGTACATGCATATTATGGCTTGTGGAGGGCCCTTGTCAAGGAATCATGTATACAAATATTAGGGAGCAAATGGCGCAAAGCCAATGTAGCCATGATGTGATCTAAGCTGCCAAAGGAGTCAGTTGGCTGAATTGTAGATTTAGTTCATTTTAGTTCATATACCCCAAGGTGGAACGTTGTCGTCCAACTACCATACGGTCGGGGCAGATTAAATGTAAGAAATCGACAGTATTCAATTGCCGGGGATCGTTCATTTCTGTTGAGTGTGCACAAACCTTACATCAGAACCTGAGCTGTTGCTACAGCATAGTGACACTGCTCTACAAATAAATAGAAATGAGTTCCAAGCCACTCATGTTTGATGGGACCTCATGTTTCTATTACTTCGGAGGTTGTTTTTCGGGCAAAAATGTAAAGCAGAAATGGAATCAGCAAGTAGGAACTCTGCTGGCCCTGCTTTTGCACCAATAATGTGCCATTTGAGCCTGCTCATGCTGATTAGCCACTCAATGACCAAAGACTGGAGAATAGAGGCAATCCGAAATTGCAAAAACATTCAAGCCACATCCTTTGCAACAGGGTAGACAAACACCCTGGCCTTTGGAACAACAACTACACCATGCCTTCTATCTCAATGCAGATTGTAAAATCTTCCATTGGGTAAAAGCTTTTCCTGCATTGTAAGGCAAACGGTCCAGAACCGAAATTGGCCAATTGCATCAACAACGTAAATGTGGGGATCCTACTTTCTACGGGATCGCATTCACTTTAACCCTGACCATGTCCTTCCCACCCGAAAGGAGCCGACAAGAGAGGAGCACGGGGCGAACGGGTCAATCAAAAAGAGAAGTGTCTGACCAATTTTCACGGCACCCATCCCAGACCAACCGAATGGAACTGTAATAGTTACATTGACATACATTTAACCCATGAAAATGACCCCAATGTTCCGGTCCCATTCGTCTGGTCTATATAATACAGGTGTTCTGAGTACAGTAGATTCGGTCGATGTTCACAGATGCTCCCAGCCATCTCTTCGCGACTGCACCTGCGCTTGGATGAAAGGAGCCAACGTCGGCGCCCAGGGCACAGCATAGGGATGGACGAAGGGCACCATCGGTGGCACCTGAGGGGACGGGGTGGCACAAAGGGCATTTATAACAATATATAAATGCTAGTTTTGCGAGGAGCTTACCAGGCTTCCAGGTGGAGATCCGGTCCGTAAGTAGAAGAGTTTTCGGATTCAGTTCAAGTCTACCTTCTACACGAGTTCATACGGTTGACATGCTTTTGGCGTGTGTTTTGTGACCCCACCAGAACTTCCTGACTGCTTCTCATGTTCCTTAATTTCGACCCTAGCTCATATTGTGCAGATCGCAAATACATTCAAGAGTAAATACTACCAGTGTGTTTGTTGTACTTGGTCGTGGGTTCCATCAAGGAATGGGTGACGGACTCCAAGTCGGCTGCGCGCAAAAAAATCAGATGTCACGAAAATGTCAGGGACTTCATTCTACACAAACGGGTGAATGACGAGACAAGTGACAGCGTGTCAAGCCGCTCAAATTCAAGAGTTTTGAAGATTCTTTGGTGGGAATAGTGGGGACTAGTTCTCTTTCCCATCCAAACTCAAAGGCCTTCAAACTTCAATCTTCGCCGTTCCAACTGGATTCGATGGTGCTCTGCATTGAGAGATGGTGTGAAATTCGTGGCCAAAGCACCAAGCCTATGGGGGTGTGAGAGGTCAATTTGCAGCTCAAGCAGAACCCCCGAAGGCTTTGATGCTAGTTGAACATACCAAGAATATCCAAGAATCCGATATGAGTCTTAGCCATACTGATACTCAATATATATTCTAGGGAAAGAACCTTGGCACAAACATACTGTATACACCCTGACTCACTAACATGGAAGCCGGTGACTTTACGAACAGGGAAAAGAACTCCACTTCCATGTGGATGTGTTCGTCGGAGTGTGCTAGACATCTACGACATCAGGATGACCCACCCCAAGAGGGTCCTAGTTAGCAGAAAGAATCAACTACAACCCATGGAGTCAAGCGGCTTGGTAGGTGTCCCCTACCCCCCTCCTGCCCCATCCAAGGCACCATAGCTATTGGCATGGTTGGATATGGCAGAGGGAAAGGAGGCATGAGGGGCATGGCCGGCGCCGGCATGGCCTGACTGGGACTGCTCTGCCACTACCCATCCTTATCCATTCTTCAAACAGAGAAGCTGGGGAAGCCGTAGACACAGGGCGCGCTCATCAGAATCTGGAGACCTATATAACAAATTCCTTGGAAGAGCCAGAAAACATACCCTAACTACCAAACAACAAGGTTTTACATGTTTGTATTCCTTTTCCTATTATTGATACAAAAAAAACAAGATCGAACCGTTCGACCGGCCCATCTCGCCTGGCCGGGCCAGGCGGCGGCCGAGTCCGTGGGTGAGGTCTCTGAGGGCCTGGACGGAGAAGGTGAGGTCTCCACCGGTGGATTTGCTTGAGGAGCGAAAAGCTTCTTGTTACTAACTATAGTAATGGCCTCCACCCGTTTCGTAGCGATGGCCTCCAACCTAGCTTCTAGCTACTAGTAGCTCTGCCTCTCCAGGATGCCAAGGGTTCGTTTTGGTGATGAAAGAGCTACTATTACTTATTCTGGAGAAGAAGACTCCAGGGAAGTACCCCTGAAAGGGCACGACATGCCAGGTATGGCAAATCATATCAGACGAAGAAGCTGCCAAGTTCAGAGTTGTTCTGTTTTCGACCATCAGGGGCAAGTTATGTGACTCTGCACCCATAAAACGATATTGCCTGTCGTTGTCGTCAGTTTTCCAGAGTCCTCACTGCTCCCACGCCGCATGGCTTCAGGGAGGGTCTGTCCGAAGAGAGCCCAGATTTCGACCAAACTTCGAAGGTCACAACCAAACAAAATGAGAGCAGCTTTGGGAACACAAGACTTTAATTTGGAGGTATCTGGAGGTATCAATCTGTCAGGAGGTATCATGTGTGTTTGTTCAATCTGTCTGGATGCCAGGACACCCAAACAGGATGACTTTACACGTGTTGTTGTTCAATGCACCAGCTTTGGCTGGCCTAGCTGCGTTCGTCTCCAAGTTCCAAAGAGCGCTCGTCTCCGTGATCACGGAGGGAGCGGCTAAGGACGACGGAGGACGGCACTACATGGAGGTCCTACTTCGTAGGTCGCCTGGTTGCGTAACGAAAAGCCATGTCACAATGTGTAAAAACATACTTGTCCGAAGTGTTGAAATATCTTGAAATGGTCCACGTGGAAAAACCCTCCAAGGGCCTCTTCTGGGCACAGAAAACGACCAAACACTCCTAGCTTTGCCAGCGCCTTGGTGTGTAGTCCACCCACTGTTCTTGCCTCAACGCGCAAATGCAGTTTCAACCTCTTTGAACAGCACCCGAAACGATGAAAGCGAAAACTACAGACCTACAGCCAAATGTCGGTCGTCGGTCCTCCAACTGCCCAGTGTCTCCCATTTTAGGCTGGTTTTGATAGATGACAAGTACTGAAGGCACTGTTGCGAGATCCCGGGATGATTCAGACTTCCGACACCCGGGTGGTGCGTTTCGAGACTCGACTCGTAGCCGGGTGATGTCGGAGGTCGGGGCACACGGGAAGCGATTCACAAAGTGAGTTTGAGATCCCACAAAACGAGACGTCGCAGAGAGCAGCTTCACGGATACGGACCGGCCACAAGCAGCATCACGGTATCCCGGGCTGTCGGATACCGGACACCTGGTTCATCCTGGTTGCTTCGTGGTGGATTCAGTAGGATTGGACAGTTGCTGTTCTCCATTGGAGAATCGAAGAACAGCACTTCTTGACGATTCTCCTCGGTCAGTGTGCCTTCTTCCACGGCAAATACCACTGCTAAAAGTCACAGGTTGAACGATGCCAGTGCAAAACTGGAACCTCTTTGCGGAGCAAAAAAGACAGTTGTTGACCGAAGTTCTCCAGGCCAACCCAACGAGATGGTCGGATTGTGTCAGAAATTGGTTCTTCTCCTTTCCGTGAAACACGCACACCAAGAACAGAACTCAAAGAACTCATGTTCGCCCTCCAGTCCACGGTCGGTGACTTGGCTGACTTCTTGGCTTAATGTAGACTCTTGATTTTGTTTCCATATGAAGAGGATCTACAATTCAATTGGGAATCTCTTGGACTGAGCTTGCAATTTCCTTTATGCTTTGGGCAGGCAGGTTCCTGCCCGTGAAGATACTTGATTTCCACGGCTCCAGGGTCCAGATGCAGCCGCCTAAGAAAAGATCCACGACTCCAGGTGCTATCTGAAACTTTTAGATTGATCATCAAACATCTGCAATTGTTTTCGTGCACCAGAGGTCCATCCCAGTGTATCCCAAGCAAGGCACTGCGAGCCTCCTTCGTTTAGGATTCACCGCATACCATGAATCTGGAATTTCAAGACGCCCCCCACTGCCCAACCCAAAAGACACCCACTGTTACCTTCGAAATTTGATTCTCACAATCCCACATAATCGTCCGTTTCACAATGAAATTCCGCCGTTAGACATGCCAGAAAAATTGTCAACCTTTGCCTTGGCCTGATCAGATTGAAATTTCACCAGCCAAGCGAGATAAGTTCACGCAGCATGTCCGCTATTTCCTGTTCCGCAAGAAAAGCTTCGATTACGTAATTTTGCCCGGTCCCAATTAGATGCGTGCTTGAGCCATCCACTATATAATTCGTAATTTCCTTGGCTACACCTGATCTTGAATAACCCCATTGTTTTGTGCCACGTTCCGAGCTGTTCGTAGATGTCTGTGTACAGTTAGATTCATGATGGTCATGTGTGTCACTGGAGAAGACCCACCCAACCCCCCCCGGCAAAGCCGGAACGGGGAGGTGTGGGCGCGCGAGATCATCCGCGAGTGAGTGCATTCAATGGGGAGGGTTTATTAAGAAGTCTACATTTTCTGGGCTTACTTCTTAGATCTTCTCAACATGGTAGTTATACAACTGATTCTGGAAGAAGATGTCCAAATGAAAGTTGGACGTCTTAAATCATCTTAATATATTTTAATATACACGTAGTGTTCCTGCATGATCCTGGTTCTTGTCACTTCTACGAGCAAAACCGAACTTTGCTTTTGCCTGTAGGACCTGCAGAGAGTTCACTGAACTCGTCATGAGTTCGTTGATTGTATAAGTAGAACTACTGTATATTTATAAGTAAAATGGCTCGGGTTCAATAAATGGATCTCGTATGATCTCGTGCTTTTCTTTCTGTTCTCTCTATTTTTCGTGCGTGGACGAAGGTGAGAAGATATTGTTGTAACATGTTGTAGCAAATGGCACGCCTTCCCCAAATTGACACATTGGATGATGATTTATGTTTGATGTATAAATAAACTTTGCAACTGGAGGACCTCTCAACTGGTTGGACCTTCCTGAAAATCAATCTGGACTGTCCCTCACCCGGCTGTATGCGAGAGGCGTCTGCATCAGACTGTTGCGGCGCTGCCGGGGCGGTTCGGTGCTGCAGCTGCTGTCCCTGCGGGCCTCGGGCGAGAAAAGAGTCGGGATGAGGTCGTCTGCGAAGTCGGTTCGAAACAACCCCAGCAAACCAGTCCTTCGGTCAATTGACGTCCTCCGTCCTCCGTCCTCGACTTGCTTTCTGTCCCACCTGGATGCCGATGTCAGTCTTGTCGGTCTTGGCCCTGTCGAATCGCTCGGCCAGTCGCGCAACAGCCGGTCGTTGGGTCTCGGAAAGGACACCACTGAAGGTACCGACCCGCTCTGTACCGAAAAGGGCTAGCTATAGCAGCTAGGGCCGTCGGGGGGTTGCTGGCAGACATAACTTATACACTACCCATTGCCCTCGGGGAATTGCTCATCGGTGAATGACCTAAAACATCGATGGAAGCGTTGTCCCAACGAAATCCTCTGGCAGGCAAACCCCAAGACCATGAGTTCGCCTCACTCCTATAGTATCAAATAGTGGTTGGATGATGTGGTTGGCGAACTCCCGCTCAAGTGGGTTTCATCTACAAAGTCCAAAACTACACTACACTCCTGAGGTCCTGCAACTCCTGACGTCACGGAGTTGTGCCCCAAAAAGGATCAAAAAGGAAAGATCCCATATTGAGTTGATGTATATGTTGATGTAGAATACGTGTCCATTTGAGGAACAAATTGCCTTTGTGTGAGGATTCCGAACGGCACAAACACCAGCCGTTCATCGTTTTTCGCCCTCAGATCCTCCGGTTTTGGGGATGCGGAAGTATTCACACATCCGTTCTGCATCTGGCGTTGAAAAAAAGGTTAGGCATCAGTGGGTCTCCTAGGAAGTGGCCCCAAGTGGAAGCCTCGTCTGCATCACCTGTTTTGCCTCATTATTTGACCCCTCAGACTCACCTAGACTGACCTCACGTCCCACCTCACTGAAAAGTACTCCACCCGTTACCGGCGGAGGTGAAGCTGGGCTGACGAGTCACTGTGGATTGATGTGGGATTTGCATGGAAGAATCTCAGAAAAATCTCACTGCGCGCCACAGTGGCACTTGGATGAACCCACTTGGTTCATGGGAATTCGATGAAATTCTGCCTTGCTCGCTGAGAGCAAGCTCTCATCATCGGCCTGGTGTCGGACGAGATGTCTGAGTCCACGTTGGGTGGACTGGTCTTCTTCGGCTCGTACTCGGGATAGTGCTCAAGCCTTCGAAGGCGGACATCAAGGAGACTTGCAAGCCCTATAAGAATATAAGATCATAGAAGGTTTGCTGAACATCTAGGCGAAAGTGTTGGCTCCAAGGGATTCTTAGGGAGGGAAGATCTAGTTCGGTGTTGAGTGTTCCCATGTCGTCCCCAAAGGTAGCTCTGAGGGAGCTCAGCTTGCCCAAGCCGAGGGAGCTGGGCTAAAACGAGGTCTCGAAAGAACAGATCAACAAAGGGCTCGCCCGTGTGGGGTTGTCAGAGCTTTCTGGGTTTGGACATTAACTCAGAGGATCCCAGTATCCCGTACTCAGTTGGAGCTTAGGGAATTGATCGTGCACAAACTATGGGACCTAGAATCTCTGCTCCATCGTCTGAAGGTGTCTTCCAAAAGAAAGGGACACTTTCTCACCAGGGGGCCACTTCCGGCAGAGCAGACTTTTTTTGCGCTGACTGGTCAAACACAGAAATCCAGCATCAGGGCGGAAAGGGTGGCATTTGCATCTGGCCGTCTCTGAAAATGCGAACAACCGAAGACCCCAAAGCACGAACACCAAGCTGTCCAAAGCCTGCAGATATCCAAAGCCATCCACAAAACTTCCACAAAGCAATGGGAGGGTTGGGGTTTGGTGGCAAGCCACCAAACAAGCATATAGCACCAAAAAGCGCAGTTTTCCCCTATCCAAGTGACGAGTAAACCTTGTTTCTAGTAGCGATGCCGTTGTTTCTAGTAGTTTCTAGCCACTATATATAGTAGTAATGCCCTGCTCCTGTCCATTCCACCCGTACCATCCAAGCGGCGTTCCGAACATGCCCGTCATGCGAGGAGTGTCCATCGTCTGCTCCGTCTCAGTTGGCACCTGAGACTCGACTCGACATTGAACAAATAAAAACAGTAGAGACAACTCGATGATGTATCAACATGAGGTATAGCATGGTATAGCTGTCCCAGAACTTCCATTTTGGTTCACTCATTCTGCCCCTCTAGCCCGCTTAGTCATGATCCACCACTTGTTATATAGGGGGATGAGTCATTTGGACTTCTAGGCGGTTTAACCTGTCGACATGTTCTGCTCCTAGACATGGGATTTGGGGGGAGGAACCGGTCATCATACTTGTAAAAGCTGATTCTTGAGAAGCAAAAGCAGGAGAAGAAGCAGAAAAATGGAGAGCGGCATCCAAGGCCAGCATGGCCGGGCTTGACCCTGTGGTTAAACATCGTATTTACTCGAAATGGTAAGATTCGGAGAAAACAGACTGTGGCATTATTGACATGTGTTGTATTTGTCAGTATTGCATGTACTGTATATAATATATATCTATATACTTCAGTATGATTGAACAAATGAATGGCGTTGCTCTGTGATTCCAGACTTCATACTGACTATCCAACCGCTCATTGCAGAGTTCGGAAACCCCAGCCTCGCTCTCAGATGTAGAGGTTTGACGTGCCCTGCCGGACAACGGAACCAAGAACCCAAGTTGTTCCAGTAGTTTCAATGATGTGTGTGATCGAGGTGTGTGTTTTTCAAACAACATCCTTCCCGTTACAACTACGCAATTGACATGATCAACAATTTGATCAGTAGTATCATGATCAACAATCGATCTTCTTCCAGCTACGTACTGGAACAGCCTTTCGAAAAAAAAATAAGCGCCTCCATCTGTCCCTGCGTCAGCGACATCAGCGACTTTGAAGGCAGCATTAATGGCAGAATAACATGGTGGTGAACTCAACCACCCGACGGGACCCGACGAGACCGATCGAATGGACCCTGTACAGGACCCTTCTTCGATCTCCTTGGCAGAATTCTCTGAGTCGATCAGTTTTGAAACTCAGAGATTTGACTGATTTGACTTCATGTGATTTCTGGGTCCATCATGGTCCAAGACTTCGCTCAGGTAGAAGACCGACTCCGCTCATCTCCGCTCTAGATCCGCTCTCCACATCCACCCGGTACCGGGAGCGGTCCTGTGTCCCACGGAGAGTCCACCTCCACCCCGGTACCGGCGACCGGGACCGGACCTGAAGGACCGACGTCGATGTACCAAACCCAGGGGAGCGGAACGCCGTCGGAGGGAGGTAGACCGAGCTACACATGCACCACTCGATTCCCTCCCACTCCTCATAGCGCTCAGTTCGAGCGTGTTGGGCGTATCAGAGGAGGAAGAGAGGCTGCTGTGCACGTCCTGAGAGGCATCTATTTCACCAATGCTGGCACCTGGAAGGCCAGGTACCCCTGAAACCCGCCCTGCAGAGTGATTTTGGATGAAACATTGACAATGTGTTGCAAAACTGCCTGGGGTCTCCTGCAGTCTTCTTTGAATGGATCCACTCTATGTCCCTTGCCAAATCCAACCCCAACGCTCAATGCCGAACCTGCGGATTCAAAGTCTGGTCAGTTCCCTGCACCTCATCTGTCAACTAAACATCAGAATATGGCACATCATAGTATATATATATATATATGTGTTAGCGCACATGTACAATGACCGTGCCAAAATCTGTTAAGCGGACCTTATGTGCTCGAATGAAGGATCGTGCGCTTGGATACCAAAAGTCGGCCCGTTGGAAACAAAACAAAGACGGTCTTCGCTCGAGCCGACCAGACCGTGAGATTGATCGTAATCCGAATACCGCCTATATACAAATAATATAAAGTGCAATTGAGTCAGGGTCGTCATCATCATCATCATCATCATCATCATCATCATCTGCGGGAGGGTCTTCATTGGATTCATTGATTCTTCCATAGGTGACCACGGTCTCGACTGGACAAGTGTTCGGAGGATGCGCAAGTCATGTGCGGCGGTCATGTTCGGCTCTAGTGAGCGTGTTATGATTACTTTGAGATCCTTCACTCAAATGATCCAACGCCGAGCCACACCTCCTTTGGGGTTGGAAACCCATTCACCGTGGCGCGCGCCATGCACAGGGCTTCAAGTGCAAAAACCGCCGGCTGCCCTTTTCTTGGTCAAGGTGCCGTCATCGGGCTTCCATCAGGCAAGGTAGAAGATTCAGCCCAGTCAAGCCTTTCCGATGGATTTTTCAGCTGATTTCTGGATGGTTTCATCTCCGACGAAAAGGAGGAGACTGATGGGGATTCGGTGACGCTTGGATCCTCACAAGGGTTCTGACACGATTGCGACTGGCCACTGGGTGCAGAGCTGCCTTTTCGGGGCGGAAGACATGCAGAAGAACAGACCTCCGAAAGGAAGACCCCAAACGGAGTCATGCCCCCTCCTACTAGAAGAGCCTGAAAAAAAAGAAACAACCCTGTGTCAGGCCCTGCAAAAATGAAAAGCTGTATCCCTTCCAACTCCAAAATGACAAACTGTACTTCTTCTTCTTCTTCTTCTTCTTCTTCTTCTTCTTCTTCGTGACCTGGAGGGTGTTCTTTTTGTCCAAAGAGTGGAATTCGATCACCGACCGCGTTAACGTGACCTCAGGCTTGTCTGCCTCGTTAAGTGGCCACCACCCCAGCGGCCACCACCACAGCAAGGCTCATGAAGCCTCAAGTATACTGTAGTTGATGGCAAAACACCTTCATGGGTAACCCAGTACAAGCAAGGTAGGTATACGGTCTGTTTATGCTGGCGCAAGGGTGAGCACCAAGTTACAAGCCTAGGGTTCAACGATTTGTTCCTTCTCCTCCTTCTCCTCCTCCTCTTACTTCTTCCTCCTCCAGCCCAAAGCCCATGCCAAGCCACGGACTCTCAGGGCAGGTTGCATAGCGTTGTTTCATGGGCTCGGACTCGTCTTCGCGGGATTCACGAAGGTCGAGGAAGGTGTTCTTGGTCCTCAGTGAGATGGTCACCCAAAACGATCACCGGTGACGTCAAGAACTGGGCCCAGGAAGAAGAACGATTGATGCCTCAACTTCCCACGTTTGGTCGCTGAGCTTGGTATTTGGTCGCATTCAAAGTTTAACTTAGCAGCATATATATATATAACTACATATAATATACAGCAATCAGCTGCAAGCTAGCAATGGTGTATAAATAGAGAGTCTAGCCTAGTCTGGAGAAACCAACAGAAACACAAAGAAATCGATTGAAGAAACGGAGGAGAGTGGGTTGATCCTTCCACTGAGACTCTTCAGTCTGACCCGAGACTCTTCCGAGACAGACGCGTCCAGGTCGACGGGGTGCGGCTATCAACGGGGTCGACGGGGTCAGACCTCTTGTTGCTGGGGAACTCGAGTTGAGTCTCCTTTGCTCCAGTTGAAATCCCCCCAAAAGGTTCTTTTCATGATTTTAAGCAGAGTCCTAATTCTGATGTCAATTGGCATGGGATGATGTGCTGTGCAAGTGGACTAGAAGCACCAAGCCTTTTTGGAGGGATGGTATCTGGGTGGTGTCTGGAACCTGTTTGAAGTCTTTCCACCGCCTGCGACCCCAAGCAGAAAGAAATTTGAGTATTTCCAATATGGCTTGCTTCAAATCCTTGGGACTGGGAAAACCATGTCTTTCTTGTTGCCTCAACCTGGGACGCTACAAAGGCACCTCATCGAGCGTCCGGTCCGGTCCGATTCGATGAACCGGTGGAAACGAATCGGACCTCCGAAGTAGGGAAAGCCACCTGGTCTGACCGGATCAATCCGTGAGGTTTCTCGGTCGGAGGTCGGGGAAGACACATCCACCCCTGTTTTTTTCTATATGCCATGAGCAGTAACAGTGGATGATGGTTAGGTGGCAGGCCAAGCTCTCAAAAAGAGTGATAATCTTTTACCGATTGTTACTGACTGGTATTGGGCTACACCCTACAGTGCACCCACCCTTGTAGGGTGGGTTGCTTGGAATTGCTTGCGGCAGGCACCTGGGGATCCTAACACTCGACGCTATCTGCCTGATCTCAACACACACCACTCATCTGTGGTTGAGCAGGGCCATCCAAAAGTAAGCAAAAGGGATCGCAGCAGGGTGGTGCCCTGCCAAAAGAAGGGAGTTTATCATTGTTCGGTTTGAGTGAAAGTTGGTGTGTGAAATCCATCGCTGCGATAGCTCTTGTTCAACACGCGTTCTTCACCATGAGTGCTCCAAAAACTGTCTCAGCCCCTAACAAGCTTGTGCCGCACACCACACACACCATCAGGCCAGGCGTCACAACCATGCCCGGCTCGAGCTTTCTGAGTCACGGGTGGAAGGGACTCAGGGGACACAATATAATTACAAGTATCTATATATATATACATATGTGTGTGTGTTATATACACGTGTTACATGTTTTTAATACATGTCATATGATGTCATATGTGGCCTTTCGGGACCTCCAAGCTTCAGGGATCTGGGCTACGGATCGATCTACAGGGGCAGGCCGCATTAGGAAGAATCGAGTGGTGCTTGAAATCAGGATCCTTTCAATGGAAATCCATCAACACTCGAGTGGTGGGCAGGGTATTTACATGTAACTACTCTTTCCATCATGTTTGGCCCTCGCCGACCATCAAGCCCTATATAGTCTCCTCCCCGAAACCTCGCCCTAGTTCACTCTAAGCTCTGCCAGCGAAGGACCTTGAAACCAGCGAGGAGTCTTGGCTAAAGAAGGAACGAACCAGTTTCTGAAGACCACCATCGATCTATATCGATTTATATATAGATTGCATGTCTTAATACTCAGAGTTCATGCCAGCGTTCTTCCTCCCCAAATCCTGAAGGCCTTGAGGACTTCCCACACTGTATAAATCGTCCAAGAGTTTTTGGTTGAAACCAATTACTGCTCCCCCAAACACTATCCTTTACAGGCCGCTCGAAGCCCGAGAATGGACCCTCAAGGCGGTCAAAAGAGCATTAGCTGCCACTGTTTCCTCTACAATCTACGAGTTCGCCTCCTGTAAGTTCGTCAAAGAATACTCTCACATGTATAAAAACCGCCTGACCTCTGCTGCAAAAACAGCCAAGCCTAGCCAAGCCAGTCTGGGTCCCCTCGAGGACCACCAACTCACTGAATGAGGTGTTCCAGTGTTCCAGAGTTCTGTTGATTCACAATAAGGATTTAGTTGACGAAACACGCCACACCCTTCATGAATGCTTAGTGTAGCCCATCTGGTGCGACCTGTTATTATAAATGGTTCTGCTGGTGAACCATGCGACCTGTCGATCTCCCAGCGATCGCGAGCGCTGGTGCCAATGACTGGCCGGGGCACCCATAGTTGGGCCGCTGCAACCACGCTGACCTAGCTCGACGAACAACTGTTGAAGGGTTCCTAGCTTCGAAAAGGGAAGGTGAGAGGTTCCTCTTGGTATCTGATTGCATGTTTCAGGGGTGATTTCAGGGGTCCATGTAGCCATTGAAAAAAAAAACAGTCCCTTGGAGTGTCTGGATACATGCTGCTTTCTGTTTTGTTGGCAAAAAACCAGGCATGTCATCGTTGCGACCTCCGTTGAACTCCGCTTTTTCGTGGACGACTCCAGGGAGTCGTCACACTGGAGAACGTCACATGGGCGGATCTGGGTGCAATATGGTCCAATGTCATGTCATAACATGTGTGGACCAATGTACTACTGTAGATAAGGCAGTAGATTTTATAGAATGTGGAAGTAGAAGTCATAATGTCCAATCAAAACAGCGGACAAATAAGTTCTACAATAGGTTCTAAGGTTCTACAATAGGTTCTACATATTTCTACATTCTATGGATCTGTGTAGTTGTTTTATTCTGTTTTGTCTGGTCCACGTAGTACCAGGACATCTTCCTTCCGCACTACGTACCCTCAACAGCCTGTGACAAGGGCAAGCAAGGACATGCACTTTTCGGCGAGCACTTGTGTAACCACCGAAGATTAGATCATGTTAGATCTAGAGGGCAAACTCAATAAACGCTTCACAATTCTCTTGATGTTGACAGTCCATATATATATATATAAACCCTGTGTGGGAAAACCATTCTGGTGCACGGGGGTATTCAACAGCCTACATGTCCCAGTGATATGCTAATCTCTAAGCTTCATCCCACGAATCACGGATTGGCCTATCGACCTGTTCCACACACGAATCGCGCAGGTTCCACGCATCGCAGAACCAGGTCCTCCCGCATGCTCCCGGCGTGTGGACTCTCCCGGGCACCCTTGTCTGGACTCAAAAACAAACAGCTGCAAGCAGACAGAGCTGCAGTAACGCGGTAACGCGCAAAGAAATATCCTGCAAGGAAAAAATACGCACAAGCTGATGGACACTGGCAACCACCGAAAAGAATGGGCTTGGAGATGAAAGACAATCACATGTTGCTCTTCAAGGCAAAGTCTGCGAGTTTGTTTTATGTGTTGGAGTTCTGGACTGGACTAGATGATTAGATCTTACAATCTGCAGCTTTCACGTTAGCGCTGTGTTGTGGAGAAAGGAGTTGAGAGTGGTCAAATGCAGTGGATCGATTTTGCGGATCATCAAAGTGGGTATTTCTCACACACACAAGGTACCATGGTGTAGCATGCAAACCCATTGGCAAACAAAGACTGACATGTCCGGGTCACTGAAAGCATTCTTTATGGTGGTTTTTGGAGTAGCGCACAGACCCCAAGATCCTGAAAAGATGGTGTGCCATCGAACCTCTGAAACCACTGTAATTCCTTTGAACTCGCAGGCCCCACTCGAGGACATCTTCATCTCCACCTCGAACCCAAACAACCAGAAACAAAAGGATGTTCAAATATGGCAATCCAAATCCTCTACTGATACTGTAGTAAGTGGTTAAGACTGGGAAAACCATCCATGTGTTTCTGGGACTGGGACTGTGTTTCCAGGCATCTCGTAGTGACCTTTTTGGAGGACATGTTTCAACGACAAACACCCAACCTCCGGGAACATCTTGAGCGCTTTGTGTGCCAAGCACCGTCTGTACAAGGCCTCGTTGGCTCGAAACGATATGAAAAGTGTCGGCGAAGAATCAAGGTTGTGTCTCTAGATTATGGATCATGGAAATGTAACACCAGTTAGTTGCTGCCCGTAGGTACGCCGGTAGGTGTGTTGGCCAAGGTGTATTCGTACCAGGCCTAGTGAGGCTTCGTCTGGGAACAAAAAGAAGTGACCCTGGTGTCCCTGCCAACTTCCCCGCCCCCCCCGGCTGGCTTTACAGTACACTGTACACCCCGCCGCTGTCGAAAGAAAACAAGATCAAATGTGTTTGCCTCACCCTCACACCCTGGAACTCGTTCCGTGAACTCCAAATTGGTGACCCCCCAAACCGCCGCACTCGACCAAAGCACACGCGGATCTCCGAAAGCACAGTCATCTCCGCGGAGTGAAGGCCAAACCCCTTCGACGTACCCGCCCGGACGCTCCGTGAAAGGCAAGCCCATGCTCCCGGTCACCGGCCCAACCGACCGAAAGACCCCCTTCGACCCGATTCGGAACCGATTCGGAACCGATCCGGAGTGCGCGGAGTGTCTGGGCGGAGTGTGTCCGAGCGTCGAGTGTCAGGTTGGACGATTCGACAAATTGTGCATGGCGAAAAATTGCAAGATCGATTGAGGGTCAAAGGTCACTCAATAGAATCTTCAGTTAGGTTTCTAGATTCAGATCCTCGGATCTAAATCGCAAAAAATGATGGGTATCCCGGAGGTGATCCCAAGCCTCTACAAGCATACATGACCAAATCAATTGTGGATGATCCCCTTGAAAAGAAGTTGTGTTCATATGTGTTCATTTGGTATTCCCCGAACAATCCTGTGTCCCTTCCCTTCAGGGGACCCAACTACAATGCGATCCTATGTTTCCCGTTTCAGCTGGATGTCATCGGAAGCTCTTAGACAAAGATTCTGATTGACTGCCGGCGTTAAAACCCAAGTTTGCCTCGTTGCGAGGCGAACGCGGCGAGCGAAGTGGTTTCTCCAACTGCGACGGTGTGACCCCTGCAACCTCACCCATGACTTCCACACCCCACGAACGACGAAGCAGCACGTGTAGCTCTCACAACACGATACCACAGGAACCTCCAAACAAGTCTTTGGTGGATGATTCCAGTCTGGACATCCAATTCTGCTGCTTCAGGCGCCATGTTTCACCCTCCCCCCCAAAGGGGCCGGCCGGGCCCGCCCCAGAAGCAACGGTCCCGGAGTTTGGGCGTCCGAGCCTTGGTGTTCCAAGGGTCTAAGTCCAAGCTCTGCGTGGCGGCGTCTTGAGCACGCCGATAGAGCTGCCGGAGAGACCGAGAGACGCTGTGGTTCGTCCGTGAGAAAACGCGCGCTGTTTCAGCGGTCTTTTTCCAAACAAAAGATGGCGAGGTCAAACTCCATGGCTTAAAGAACGGGTACCCAAAGTAGGTGCGATGCCCTAAAAAAATCGAACACATGACTACCTGGACCCTCCAACAGATCACCACCTGTCACTTGTAAGTCTGCAAGAACCTTCAGAGGAGACCTGTAGGAGGGTGCTGGTATAGATACATTGAATAATCAAAAATGACTCCATGGCTTAAAGCTGCAGATTCCGTCGGAGATTGATTCTTTGGGGCCTTGAGTTCCAGGGGTGTTTGCCACCTTCCAGTGAACTCCAATTCATTCCAAGGAGGACATGCGTCGGAGGACATGCGGGCACCGAATCAATGGGATCTTCTGGTGATCTGCGCGGTTCATCGCTTTGACTCGATGTCTCCTTCGTTTTTGGAACAGGAAGTCATGCATCATGATGCCATGAGACAAACCTTCAGTTGGTGCTTGGGGAGCATGGCCTTCTTTTCCTTTCGGATTGGGGGGGTGACAACGGAGGGACTCCAAACAAACCAATCAACTGGATGAATCATGATAAATCCTATTCCACCACTGGTCAGTCCATCGACGTCCCCACCCAGTTTTGTCTTCATCGTTCATGAACACCCCAATGATTCAGGGTCCCGGGTCCAGGAAGGTCCCTTGGGGGTCCTGGAGTCCCTCGCCTCCAGATTCAGGTAGCAAAGGGCCAAATTCGCATGGAGCGAGGATAGGAGCACCTCCCAGGAATCATGACGATAGGAGCGACCCAGCTATATTCGGCCCACCAGGCTCACATCCGGGGTCGAGGCCATCAGCGGAGGTCTGTGGAAGAATAGAAGATCCGCCTTTCAGTCACCCCTGCTTGGGAAAAAAATTGAAAAAAGACCACCGGTGAACATTTGGGAGGCCCTATTGGGTTAACTATTGATGAATCAAAATCTTTTTTTCAGACATGGAGTGTAAAACCTTTTCATGGGCCGAGAGTTGAAATATCAAGAGGTTGAAACCACGTATTTCTTGGGGAACCATTTGGGCGGCTGCAAATTCTTACTCATACAGTACTCCGGAATGCTCATGTTCATCTATATAATGGTTGAACCCTCCCGGCGGGGCCGATGGCTTCCCACAAACGTATACAAGCGTGGCATTGTCAATGAACACTGAGGAAAGCCACGTTGTTTCACCAGTGCCCAATAGAAGGAGTGGGCAATTCTTGTCTTTGTTGGGCATGACGTGTGTTTTCTTTCTGGGATTCTAAGGAGCATTCTCTAGACTCTAAAATTTGGAGCGTGCTGTGTTGACCTTTCTCTGATCGGCAGCTGCTAGCCAAGTCTAATGGGCTGCACCTGGTTCATTTTGTGCAATGAAGTTGGCAGTGATGTACAAGCAGCAAGTTGTGCGCAAGCATAGCAACAAAGCTACAACAAGGACAAGGTGACGGAAACATGTTTGTTTTGGCAGTTGGGTCAGAACCCGCGCCAATTAAGTTATTCCAATCCTGCAGGGACAAGAAATACTAGTTTGCATGGACAAGAAGTGTATACTACCGTATATACCTCCCTTTGCAGCATTACCTGTTTAAGAGGTGGCTGGGGTGAAATGATTCTTATGGACTTTCTCGTTTGAAGTGAGGGGCAGGATTCTATTCCAAGAAAGGGAAGTGAGTTGGAATGATACAAAAGTGTACAAACCCTTTCCTCGCAATTCTTGCAGCATTTAGGGGGGAATGGGAAGGATTGGAATTGTCATTCAGGAAAGAGAACGTTAGAATGAAAGTTGGCAGCAGTGTCACGAATGCCAAACACCTACAGTACTATTTATATACTAACGATGTTTTCCAGTGAAGGATTGGTCTTGTCTCTAACGAAAGAAAAGTAGGAAGAAAGTCAGCAACAGCATATGGAGTGCCTCCCTCTATTACTAAGAATAGTATCCTTCCTTTGGGAAAGGTGGGAGAGGAAAACATTGGTGGTACGGTATGTTGATGGAAAGTGCTACTACCAGGTATAGTCTTTGTCTTGCAAGAAGAAGAGTAGGTCGTAGCAGGGGTGGTCGCAATAGTTACAGTGCTGGAAGTAGTATTGTTACATCATAAGTCGTGTTTCGAGTAGTGTTGCAGTAGTATTTGCATCCGTTGTGGTAGCATTGCTGACTGTCATATACTGCCCCCAAAGATTGCCATGATGTTTAAAAAAATGTTGTAAATGAACAACGGCCACAAAGTCAACACGGAAAATTCACGGTAGGACATTGAAATACACATATATATATATAACCCTCTGCGTGCGAGGTCAGCATCCAAAACAAACTTCACAAAGTTCCTTGCACAGCAGAAGCTGCTGAGGACTTTGCATAATTTATGTCCCTGAGAGCCAGGTGTTTGTTGGGCACTGAGAACCAAATTCATCCCAAACAGAGTGGTTGGTTTCCCTTATGAATATTACTATTCAAACTTCTCTGTGAAATCGTTATCAAGAGCACTTCCCTGGCACAACATAACATAAAACAAGCACAAAACATAAAGATCAAAAAACATGACCAAAACTGCTCGATGGTGCTGGCTCCCCAAAGCTGCTTGTACAAGCATGTATATATAGCTGTTTGCCGAGCCGAACGTTTCCAAAATGATCGAACCCGTCTTTCTCCAGTCATCAGCTTTAGACCGGAGGGTTGACCTCCACCTTCATCAGTCTTTGGAGTCTTTTGTTCAGTGTCGACACAGCGAGTCCACGGCACCTTCTCACCGCCCTCAATGTCCAGTGCCGCAATGGCGGCCTGACGCTCTCCAGGCGAATCCCGAGCGACTGGGACGTCCGTCCAATTCGGCATCCCGGACGCTGTCCGCACAGTGCACCCCGCAGGTGCAGAGGGACTGGATGCGGGACCCTTCATGTGTGGGAAAAATTTGGAGCCTCTGTGCGAC